CCGGGCAGGGATGCCCGCGCGCGCGGCCGCACCTCGGCACGCCCCGCTGGCCTGGGCCGCGCCCTGCGCCCGATCCCGGGCCGCGTCCCGCTCGCTGCGGCTCGCGCTTCCTCACGCGGGGCGCCGCCGGAAGGCACCGAAGCCCGGCGCCCGCGAGAGCGGGACCAACGAGCGCCGCGTGCGCGCAGCGTTGTGGCCAGGAGCGCTGCTGGCCGCGGGAGGAGGCCTGTCTGCGCCGGTTCTCGCCTCCGCCTCCGCCAGGAGTGGGGACGCGGCCCAGCAGCAGCCCCGTGGAAATCGGGCTCCTGGTCGAGCGGGGGGAAGGCAGGCCTGCCCAGCCCTCGAATGGAGCTCCTTGGAAGCAAGCCCGGGCCGGCGAACGGAGTCCTTGGGTGCCCCTCTCCAGGCAGGACCCGTGGAGCAAGGAAAGGACAAGGCCGCTTCTTCCCTCTCTGTCTTGCGGTTTGGCCTCGCTACAAGGCCGTTCTGTCCCCATTTCTATCCTAGCCAAGCCTGGGCATGCAATTCAGTATCTCCTCCTTAGTCCTGCCTCTGTTTGTCTGCTGTTCCTGTTGCTTTGCTGGTGTTGAAGCTTCCAAATTGAAGCAAGCAGGTACAGTCAATATAAAACAGGATGTGACCCAAGGCGCTAAGAGAATGGTCTTGGGTTACATTTGGTGACTACATGGGATATTCTACAAACTCTCTCAAGAGCAGGGCTATAGGTGCCGCATAGAGGAAAGAGTGCCCAAATGTTACACTGATGTCCACAAGATACAGCATAGGCCATAATTTTGCTATGCGCAGCGATGAGGCTTCAGCTCTGCTCATTTTTAATTGTTTTCTTCCATTCTTCATAGATGGACCACCCGTCTCCAACCTACATGATTGCCAATTTGACTCCTCTGCATTCAGAACAACTTTTGCAGGGCCTGAACCTCCTCCGGCAGCACCATGAGCTGTGCGACATCATTCTTCGTGTCGGGGATGTCAAGATCCATGCCCACAAGGTGGTGCTTGCCAGTATCAGTCCATATTTCAAAGCCATGTTCAGTGGCAACCTCTCTGAGAAAGAGAACTCGGAGGTGGAATTTCAGTGCATTGCGGAGACGGCTCTGCAGGCCATAGTGGAATATGCTTATACCGGGACTGTGTTCATATCACAGGACACCGTGGAGTCCCTTCTTCCTGCTGCTAATCTCCTGCAAATCAAGCTTGTGCTGAAAGAGTGCTGCACCTTCTTGGAAAGCCAGCTGGACCCTGGCAACTGCATCGGGATCTCCCGCTTCGCGGAGACCTATGGCTGTCACGATCTCTACCTGGCCGCCAACAAATACATTTGCCGGAACTTTGAGGAGGTTTGCCAGACGGAAGAGTTCTTTGAGCTCACCCATTCCGAGCTGGAGGAGATTGTCTCCAATGACTGCTTGAACGTGGTGACGGAGGAGATGGTCTTCTGTGCGCTGGAGTCCTGGATCAAGTATGACGCGCAGGAGCGTCAGAAGTACCTGGCCCAGCTGCTGCACGGTGTGCGGCTGCCCCTGCTGAGCGTCAAGTTCCTCACGAGGCTGTACGAGGCCAACCACCTCGTTCGCGACGACCGCACCTGCAAGCACCTCCTGAACGAGGCCCTGAAGTACCACTTCATGCCCGAGCACCGGCTGTCCTGCCAGACCGTGCTGACCACTCGCCCTCGCTGCCCCGCGAAAGTGCTCTGCGCCGTTGGGGGGAAGGCCGGGCTCTTCGCTTGCTTGGAGAGGTGAGGGATGGCCCAAGTCTGCAGCGGGGCAGAGGTTCTCGGTCTTGTCTGCTCACCAGTCGGGGGCGCGGGCAGCGGTTCAGCTGGCCTGCCCCTGAGCATAGCAGAATGACGGCTGGGCAGGCAGCCTTCAGGAGCTCACCATACCCTTCATCCCGCCGATCTGGGAAAGGTCTAGGGTGGAAAAGCAGTGGACGGGGTGTGGCTTCTAATGTGCCAAGCTGCAGAAGTCGTTTATGCTGTCGTTCGCGCTCGCTGGCAGCACTGTGTGAGAATCATGGTGAGACGAGTGAAGGAGCACCCTAGAATGCTGCTTGCACAGGGGTATGTGACTGTTCTAATCCTGGGCAGCTTTAAAAAAAAAAATCAGAATGGCTTGCAAAGGGAGAACTGAAACAATTATGACCACGGTACAGATGAGCTCCAGGCACGCTTCTTTCCTTTAGAAAGAGGAAACCAGCAAAAGAATGCTCAGCGAGGGTACAAGGATCTGGTATGGCTGCTCTGGAGCTCAGTTGCTGTACGTTGTGCACTTGGAATGCCAGCTGCCTTCTGGAAGGCCCCCTCTGTGCCCTGCTGCAGCATTTGGGATTGATAGTGCACCCCCCCTCCAGAAAAAAATGCATGAACAGCGCCCTAATCTGAGCTGCTACCACATGGCATTTATAACCCTCCTTTTCCCCTCTTGTGAGAGACCCAGGGCCGCTTATGCAGCTCCACTTGATCCTCGCAGCAACAACCCTGTGAGGTGGGCGTGACTGAGGGAGTGACTGGCCTCGAGCCATGCAGGGAGCTTTCTGGCCAAGAGGGAACTGGAACCAGCTCTTCCAGGCCCCCGTCCAGCGCTCAGGCCGCCACACCACACCAGCTCTCGGTGTTCCATCCTTCAGAGAGAAGCCTAGTTCAGGGGAGCGGGAGCTTGGTGAAGGACCTCCCCCTAGTTGCGGGGCAGCACAGGGCTTGCCCTTGGCTTGCAGGGCGTGTCTCATTGCGAGCGCCGAGGCAGAACGATTTCCCTCCGTTCCCACACAATCTGCACCGATGCGGCATTCACAAGTACAGGGAGGTGGTTCTGAAAGCTAGGCATCTTGGCTTCTTTCTAGTCCTGCTGCTGTTTTTTATTGTTCTGTGCTTAAAATGGTGTTTGAATGTCAGGCAAATCTGATCTAATGGGGCAAGTAGCATAAGCCAGGAGAGCATTATCAAAAGTATCTTAAAACTCAGTCCCTTTTGCCTGGTCGACTTTGTCCCATTACCTTTTCCCCTCCTCCTCTTCCAGTGTTGAGATGTACTTTCCTCAGAACGACTCCTGGATAGGGTTGGCACCTCTGAGTGTCCCTCGCTTTGAGTTTGGCATTTGTGTCCTCGACCAGAAGATCTACGTGATCGGAGGGATTGCGACCCACATGTATCAAGGCATCAACTATCGGAAAAACGAAAACTCTGTGGAATGTTGGGACCCAGACACAAACACTTGGACATCCCTCGAAAGTATGAATGAGAGCCGGAGCACCCTGGGGGTGGCCGTGCTGGCCAGAGAAATCTATGCCCTGGGGGGCTATAATGGACAGTCCTACCTGCAGTCAGTGGAGAAGTACATTCCGAAGGTGAAGGAGTGGCAGCCGGTGGCGCCCATGAGCAAAACCAGGAGTTGCTTTGCCGCAGCTGTTCTGGACGGGATGATCTATGCCATCGGTGGCTATGGGCCGGCTCATATGAACAGGTAGGGGCAGTGGGGGCAGAAGAAAATGATCCACATGTGCACGCACATCGGGGGGTGGAGGGTGGTGATTTTATGCAAGAGCTGCTGGCCAACAGTCCCTGCGCGCCCCACCGGGCTTCATTAATCCTTGCTCCGGAGAGTTTGCCCCAAGCAGTCCTACAGTAGAATTCAAAGTGCTTACCTTCATTACATACCTAGATATTTATTATTCATGCTATTTCTTTGCCACCCCACTAGCCATAGGCTGTCTGGGTGGCTTACATCATGATAAAATCCATATGTAGAACATAGTAAACAGTACAATATGCAACACAACAAAGTCCACAATTACAATGATCCCAACAACAATAAAAAGCTGTATATAAAGTACCAAAATTAAATAAGACCAGATAAAGTAATAAAACAGATAAATAAAATGAATATTATACAAAGCATCCAAAAATAAAACATAAACCAAGTAAAAGTGATGTCAATATTTATTATTTATAGTAAAATCGTGAAGGCTGCATTTTATAGTCTAAAATCTTAAAAACAATTAAAAATCAGCAATTCACCTATTAAAATAACAAGGGGAACGAGAACATCTTAAGTTGGCATTGAAAAACAGGAAGAGTGGGCGCCAACTGGAGCTCCAGTGGAATCAAATTCCAGAGTTGGAGGTGCTGTGCTTGAAAAAGCTCTCTTCCTTGCAATCTCCCCTCAATCTCACTTCACTGGGGGAGAAGCATGGAGGAGGCTTCAGTTGAAGACTGCAGTGAGTGGGCTGGTACATATGGAGCGCTCCGAACTGGGCCCAGGCAGCAACCGGGTGCTCGGTGTAGTCTTCAGAAGCCTGGCGTGATGTGCTCACGCATGCTAGTCCTCGCTGCACCATTTTGGACCATTTTCAAAGGCAGCTCCACGTGGCGTGCGCTGCAGTGATCCAAGTGAGAGGTTATCAGCTCATGGACAGCTGGCAGGGCTCTGCTCATCCAAGTACAGACACAGCTGATAAATCAGCCGAAGCTGATGAAAAGCACTCTGGGAAACAGTCCACCTGAGCCACAAGCAACAACTCGGGATCCAGAGTGCCCCAGGGCTGCGAACTTTGTCCTTTAAGACATCCAGTGCAGGTGGAAAACTCCCCAGTTGAACAGATGGACTCCCCACCAACAGTGCCTCCATCTTGTCCTACCTGGATTGAACTTCAATATGGCAAAATTGAACATTCAATGATGCTTTTCATTAGATTGAGGCTAATAACTGAAGGCCCAGAACAATGCTTGTGTGTCCTGGTTCTGAGCCATTTACAGGGCAAGAGTGTTGCCATGGCAACACCATCCCTTCTCTGGGCTTTGTTTTTTTTTTTGTTTGTTTTTGTGTGTGTGTGTTTGTTTTGCACTAGTTAAACTCTCGCATTCACTTAAAGGAAGGGGTATTCCTTATTGATGTCGCAAGAGCCACTGCCCAAGATTCAGGGGTGTAGGCAACAGAGTCCTAGTGTCTGGGCATAAGTAGAGCAAGAGTTCCTTGGTGCCCATCTTGTAGAAAGCCAGGTCCTTCACAGACCGGTTTCCACAATTACGGACTATATATAGTATCCTTTTTAGCTTACCCCATTCTTAAGACTTGCAGTAACCAAATAACCCAGTAAATGAAAGATCTGTTGAAGGCTAAATTCCCCTAGTGGCATTAACATTTTCCCAGTTTTGGTGTATTGAATCCAATAATATGCAGGTAGTCCCTGAGTTCTGAACATCCATAAATCCTATATGAATATCTCTACTGAACAACCATAACTATCTCTTAAGGACACATTTGGAGAGGCACCATCAGTGGCTCCGTAGTTCCCTAGAGATACGGTAGTCACAGCTATCTCTAGGGAACTATGCAACGTATCTCTAGAGAATTATGTGATGTATTTGGCGATGCATCATTAGTGGCAACCCAGTTCCCTGGAGATACAGTATGCAGAGCTTTTCACTCTGCAGCATCAGCTCAAGCATAACCAAACCAGTATGTTTCAGGGCATGCGCAGGGCGTAGTTCTCCTTAGGTTTTTCTGTAGCATCTGCCCTTGAAACCAGGCCCTCAGTGGCTGCAGGGCCATTTATTGTGCGAAAATGGCTGTGCGGACAATCCTGGATGCCTCCTCCAAGAAAGCAGTTCCAGTGGTAGCCCCCACCCCCAGCAGCACAATGAAACCCCAATCCATCCCCATCATGATCAATTCATGTTAGGCGTAATGGTACCTCAAGAACACTCTGAACTGTTTTAAGAACTGTTTCTTTTATTTGGTTTTTACAGTACCGTATACCTACAGATGTACACACATACATACAGGTTTTCTTTCTCTCTACAGTATCTTTAGTTACTTTATTAATTCTGTATTGTCATCATTATGTATTTATTTAAAGTTTTTCTATGCCGTTCAATACTAAAGTCTCTGGACTGCTTACAAAAAACAAAACAACCATACACAGCAAACAACATACAACACACTGCATCCAATAAAGATAAAATCAAAGATAAAACCAATTAGCTGTTAAAATATTGGGAAAATAAAAGGGTCTTCTCCTGACACCGAAAAGAATAAAGCGACGGCACCAGGCAAACCTCCCTGGGGCGCGTGTTCCACACTCGGGGCACCACGCTGAAAAGGCCCTTCTCCGAGTAGCCACCCTCCCAGTTTCCTTCAAAGAGGGCTCCTGGAGAAGGACCTCTGCCTCAGATCTCAAGGGGCAGGCGGGCATATATGGAAGAAGGCGCTCCTTCGTTACAATGCCGTATTGTGTTTAAAGTGTTTTAATGAATAAGGGAGTGTTTTTTAAATGTTTTATATGCATAGAAAAGTAAAATATGTACATATACTAAGACAAACCTCTGATTTTCTCAGGAGCTTCATTTTAAAAGCTGGAGGCACAATCATATTTCTCACTCGCTCAGTAACGAGCGACATACCTTAAAGATGAAAAACTTTATTCCGGTGTCCACTTTCGTGGACATGCTGCGCCCTGCCTCCCACTCTTCCACGCATTGCCTCTTACTTTCCGTCTTGCATTCGTGTCATCCCTTCTCTGCACTTTTGGTGCCGTGTGGCCCCGTTTGTTTCACTGACGGGTCTCTTGGGGGAAAAGTCACCCGTTCCTCGGCAGTGGTTTTCGTCCTCCTGCTACAGGAGCCAGATCCTTCCTTTCACGCACCAGGCTCCAAAACGCCAGGCAGTCCTGCACAGTACAAATCTTTGCTGGCACTTTCGAGGTAACAGGAGAGTGCAACTCTCAAAGCCCTCTAGCAAGCTGAACAATAAGCCTCTGCACATGTAAAGAGTGAGTGTTGAGCCCAGACTGGAGCCTTCTCCCCGCTCCTCCCCTTTCGTCCACGCTGCTGGCTCCCCCCTCAGGGTGGCTTCTGCTGGTGGACGCCTTCTAGCTGGGTAGCGTGTCTCTCCAGGCTCCTCACCACAGGGTCAGGGGCTGGGCAAGACAACAGCCGCCCCCCCCCCCGCCCGTCTCTTCCAGGCAGGTCTGCCCTCATGCGCAGCCTGGGAACTGCAGGCAGCAGCCTCGATGGAGCGCCAAGGGCTCCTGCTGCCCTTGATCCTCCGCCCCCTCCGACTAGGCAGGGGCTTGGAAGGTCGGTGAAGGGGGAGTGCCTGGTCCACTCGCTACACCAAATGGGACCTGGTCATGGAGACAAGGCCCTTGGCCCTCCAGCATGCTTGCTTGGGGAGCGTGGCAGTGTTGTGGAGCGACTGGGTGCATCTCAGCCACGTGCCCTTGCCCAAACCGCTCCTGACCGGGCAATTCACGGCGTTTGCTTCTAGATGCACCGAGGATGTTGTGTAGGGCAGCCCTTCTTCAGCCGTAGTTTCTTTGATCTGTATTTTCTTCTTCGTATGTGGATCTTTGCTATGGTACCCAACGTCTTGACGCAAGTGGCTCTCATCCTCCCAGCGATCCGTCTCGAGGGGCTGTTGCTGCTGCGTGCGGGTGGGATCCTCCTCAAGCGGGGGCTCCCTCCTGAATGCAGCGACTGCGACCGGCCGTGCTGCTGTCATTACGCCCTGTTATTTCTCTGCCCCTGCAGTGTGGAACGTTACGATCCTGGCAAAGACTCCTGGGAGACGGTCGCTCCGATGGCTGATAAAAGAATAAACTTTGGCGTTGGAGTGATGCTGGGCTTCATTTTTGTGGTCGGAGGGCATAACGGGGTGTCCCACTTGTCCAGCATTGAGCGGTACGACCCTCACCAGAACCAGTGGACTGTTTGTCGGCCAATGAAGGAACCCCGGACAGGTAGGAAGAATGCTCAGGGTTGCTTTTCTCCGGCTACGCTTTGCTGCCCCTGGGGACCTCTCAGGCGACTGGGAGGATCGCTAGGATGGGCAGACAGTTCACCACAACACATGAAAAATCACAAGGACTTTCGTGGCTCCATATCTGCGGGGGAAGTAGAATGGTACTTCCTGAAGTCACGTGAGGGCATCCCAGAGTTCTCCTGAGCTCTCCCCTAGGAAAAGGAAACGGTTGTTCCCCAGTAGGCAGACCAAGGCACCCAGGGAAAAGGCAAAGAAGGACCATGCTGAGCGGTGCTTATGTGACTGGTGGTTCAGTGGTATCCAGTAGCCTCTGAAAGGATGTGTCCTGGCTGGCTACACCCCACCCCACCCCGCCCCCCGCTTCAGCCCCTTTTGCTGAGCAGAGCAGCAGAGAGCAAAGTGCTTCCAGGATTCTGCCTCGTAGACCTTCCAAAGGACACCCCTTCTCTCACTACCCTCCTGCCATGGTATTCGCTTCACTCTGTCGTCTTGGCAGCAGAGACTGGTCGAACTTTGTTCCAAGACAGACGCAGGTGTTGAGGAAGAGCTGGGAGGAAGAGGACGCCATGGACCAGGACTCCAGGCCCTTGTCCGCCGAGGACCAGGCCCCAGGACGGGGTTTGGCCACTGCGAGGTGCGAGGCCTCCCCCTTGCCCAGACACGGCTTCCCAGAAAGGTCATGGGGGCCGCTGCTCACCCTTCAGAGGAAGATGCCCTATTCTGAGGCATCTGGCCATGAGGACGCTCCTGTACCCTTGTGGCCGCAGGCTGCAGAAACGGGTGGGCCCCTTTGAGAGCCAAGTCCTTGGTCCATGCGGCGGCAGAGCCGGCCCTGCCCAGGCAGTCGGGACTAAACCGGGAACCACGTGCTGTTGGCGCATCATACAGACCACGCTGCCTGGCCTCTGCGCGCAGCACTGCTTGGGGCCATCCCGAGTGCTGATCCTTCCCATCCTCTGGCTCAGCTAGAGAGAACCGGCATCCAGACGCCTGGACAGCCGCCTGTCGGGGATGCTCGAACCGAGCAGCGGGCGTTGCCCCTCCGGCCCCTTTCAGCTCTGTTGCCATTCTGTGATCGAGGAGTCCATGTCGCCAAGCGGTGCATGCGGTGACCCGAGCCGTCGGGTGTGTTGCCGCTCGTCTCCTCACAAAGACATGTTGTGAATGGGGGCCCAGGCCTTCGTCCTACTTGGTGGTAGCTCTCATTTCCATAATCGCCCTGCCCGGTGTAACGGTGGTTAAGGTGGCTCGTTCTGGAGTAAAGGTGAGTCGTGGAGAGGCCGTGCTCCACTGGCGCCCAGCTTGCCCCTCCTGAACTGGATGGGCCGCCGTGATCTTCCGGGAGTCTGAGCCTACAGACCAGCAGTAGCTTCTGCTCCACGCTTGCAGAATGCATTCTGATGTCGCAAGGCAGACCAGGGATAATGTTCTGCTTCTGCCTTGAGTTCACACCCTTTCTGAGTCATGCAAACTACAGTGTCTGTGCCCAGAGAATATCTCTGTTGGTCCTGTTCAGGACTCTAGAACGACCCTTGGGCAGCTCGGATTCTGGATGTACTGAAGACATTCATAAGTGAGGAGCAAAGGGAGGGAAGGAGGTCAGCTGGAGCCCAGACTTAACCGTGGCCCTTCCCACAGGCCCTTGCCGTGCGCCCCGTGACAACACGCGCTTGCCTTTCATTGCACGCTTTTCCACGGCAAGCCACACCCAAGACAGCACAATCTTAGTCCATGTTAAAATGTATAATGCATTCCAGTGGCGGTGGGGTGGGGCGGTGATGGGATGAGGATGATGCTTGTCCCTTACAACGTATACTGTCTCTTGCAACCTCAAAGCTACTTGGACGCGTAAGTGCAGAAGTCCTGTGCGAGCGTCTCGGCATCAGTCTAAATTCTGTTTAGAAATCCTCCCTCCCTCTCTCTCCCAGTTAATACCCTAACATACAACTTGTTTTTGACTTTCTCCTCCTTCTCATCCCCAACAGGAGTTGGCGCCGCTATAATTGACACCTACCTTTATGTAGTTGGTGGGCACTCGGGGTCAACATACCTGAACACCGTACAGAAATATGACCCCATATCAGACAGCTGGCTGGACACAGCAGGAATGATGTACTGCCGGTGCAATTTCGGTTTGACTGCGCTTTGAAGAGGCAGCACGGAGGACTCGACTGGCACAGGAGGTGCCCGGCGCGTGGAGACCAGAAGCTGTGTGTCTTGGCGTTGGGAGGAACGGGGGACGCTTAACTGAAATGCAGACAGGTTAATCCCCACTGAGAATTGTTCCTGGTTATTCTTGATGAGATGGAAGTGGGGAGGAGAACAGAGTCCCCCGTCTTTCAAAGGGGGATCCAGGCCACGTGCTCTCGCTGGCAGGGCACCCCTTTTCTCGGTACGCGAGGCGCCAAGGGGCCGGACGCGGGTGTGGGACCCCCTGACGCAGAGCCCGTGCCTCTCCTCCTCAGACTGATGCAGGTAACCTGGCTGAAAGCGTGGGATCCGCTGAGTAGGCCGCACAGACTGTCTTGGTAGACGCCGGGCTCCACGTTTGAAGTTGGGAGATGATCACAGCTTCACATTTTTTATGAACTGTTAATTAAAGGGCTGCTCCCCCCCCCCCACACACACACCACATATTACTCAAGGATTGTAAATAGCCAATGCCATCGTCTGTGTGCCTACACTTTAGCCCACCTACCCCTCTTTTGTTAACTTGCTCAAGAGCATTTGAGGTTTGTAACAAAGGGTAGCTACTGTATGTGGACAGGCTGGATGCCTTTTAAGTACTGCCCCCACCCCGGACCTGCCCACCTATCCACCTGTCTCCCTGCCGTGGCTTACAAGCCTGGAGATCCGTGGCTTGCAAGCCTGGCAGAGATAAACGTTTGCCTCAGCAAGCCTCCGCGTCTCTTGGGTTGTGTGAAACACTGACCGAGTTTGCATGCTCAGAGTAGCCCACCTTAAAGAAGCCCGGGGAGCTGTGGGGCAAGGAACAGGCGACGCTGCCAGGCGGCGGAAATCCAGAGTGGCTGCCTACGCGCTCAAGCCCCTGTGGACGGCTCAGTGGCAGGAAAAGGCCTGTATCTCAGCATTTCACAGCGCATGTGTGAATCCGGTAGTGTCCTCCATCTCCACCATATGTCTCTGTTCACTGGCCCACATGCGGTTCTGAAGGCCGCGCGTCCGTGTTTTCAGAGTGCCCTGACTTTACCATGGTGCTAAATGATCCGATTTCTAGCAGGCCATTCACAACCTAAGGTGACGATCCTCTGCACATTTACAGGAGAGTAAGTTCCACTGAAATCAGCAGCCTTCTGCCTGTCTGTCCGTCCGTCCGTATGATTGCCCTGCACGGATGGATTGCCCTGGCGGAAGCAAGGGGTCCGGCTGGTGTGCTCTGCAGGCCGCAGCGGGAATGCTGCCCTGAAGCACAGCAGGCCCTTGCGATCGCCTCCTTTCCTCGTGTTCCTTCCTGTTACCTCAGGCGTGCCTGTGAGAAACGTCAGAGCGTCGACCTCATAATATTTCGCGAATTGGCCTGCTGTGAGTAAATCAAGCAGCTGCTTAATGGCATCTGAACAGGGAGTGTGCCCTCCCCTGCAGACTGCCTGCCTGCCTGCCTGCCTGTGCGCTTGCCTGTTTGTAAGAAGCGCTTAAGTGGGGGCTCTGATTCTGCCCATCACTTGCTTTGGGGTTCTTCTCCCCAAGCGCAGCTGCTCAGCCACCCTTCACTTCGGTAGGACTTCCCGATTCGTGGGCTGCGCGTGCGCAAGAAAAGAAAGTCGTCCTCTTCAGAGTGACCTAAGGTCAGAGGGTGAAGCAAACCCATGTGCAGTGATCCTTATTCCCTATTGCCAAAACGATTTCTTCAGATTTCTGTTGCGTATGTTTTCCAGTGTATATTTCCTCTTTGTACAAGGAGTTGTACTTTAATTTGCTGTTCTGGTCTCCCTCTTTTAAGAACTGATTTTTCCCAACTCTCCGTCTAATACATGTTCATTGTTTTCCCATGTCCTGTATTCACAGACTTGCAATAATATTGGGGGGGGGGTTGCTTTTTAAGCCTTGTACTTCTGGATACTTGAACGGTGATTTAAGGATTGACATCCTGTCTCAAATGCAAGTCATGCAAATGGCAGTTGAGAAAGCCGTTCTTCCATGGGCTAATGTTGAGGCAAAAACTGGGCAAGCACACCTCCTCTTTCAGCCATTTTTTTTTTAAAGTTGCATCACCTTTCTGCCAGCACTTGAACATACTTATCAGTCCCTGGAACTCTTCAGGTATCTGGGGAGCCCGGCAGAGTTTCAAGCAGCTGACTGACCAAACGAGCACTTTCTGCCTGGCGGCTTCAGAGAGGCCTGTCGACTCTTATGCAGCAATAATAGCACCGTGCAGCGCTTGCGTTGATTCTCCAATGTACAGAATTGTGTGCTTGGAGGACTCGTGTTCATTTCGCTGAAGCTTGCTTCGGGAGGTCTTCGGTACAGGCTGTGTGTGTTTGAAGGGGGCAGTCTGAGCATCTCCGAGGAAATCAAGGCTGATGCCTGCTTCATTTCCAGGGCATTTAATTTTAGCTCTAGAAAATGCTTTGTTAAATGGCTTCGTCTCGCTTCAAGATGTCTCTGAACAAAGAAGCGTATTAATGGCCAGGGTAAGGCGTGGACTGAGGGAACAGCTCTACACAGACAACAGAGACACATGACTGAAGTTTTAAATCACAAGGGCGGGGGAGAGTATAAGCAACGGCTGTGCTTGAAGGAACTCCCATGTTGTCTGCCATGTCATTGCGTCTCTTGCCAAACATGACCTCAAGCTGTTGTCATAGGCAGTTGTGAGAATTTCTCGTGGTATTTCATGATGCCTGAGCAAGGGATGTGTTTCGTTTCATTCTGCTTTGAAAGAACAATTGGCTCCTGGCCAAGGCAAGGTTTGCTATTCTTAAAGCAACCTGTTCTTAGTGTGGTAGCTTTTAAAAACATCCAGGTGCTCCAGGTACTTGGAGGGCGGTTCTTCTTGGGCAGCTCGGCTGGCAGAACCGTCTGGTTACTTGGAACGAGCCTGCGGGGAGCTTTGCTCCCAGCGATGAGCATCGCCTCCCTCCGTTGCACACCAGGAGGCCGAGGAGCCATCAGCCCCGCTGTGGCCAGGAGTGGGCCGGTGCCTTGAAGGGCACTTCAGGCCCTCTGTCTGTAGCAAATGCAGGGAACTGTGTATCCCAGTGAACTCGCCACAGCGGCTTCCTGGGAGCTTCGTCTCCTGCTCTGTTTCCTTTGGCGAGCGGACAGCCAGCGCCAGCACTCGCAAGCTGCAGGAACCTTCTGTCCAGCAGTGCGCCTGCCTTTGCCTTCGAGACGCAGCACGGTCACCCAGCTCTGCGGAATCGCTCCGTCGACTGGGGCATTGCTGAAGAGGAAGCCCTTCACGGCTCAGTGGCTGCTTTGCTCAGGCTGCTGTTTTTCAAGGCTGAGGTTGAACGTGTAGCGCTGCATGGGCATTCGGGAGGGGGAGCATTCCCATGCAAGCACCACTGACTTGGGAAGGCAGCTAGAGAACAGGGAGGGCCCTTTCCGTGGCAGCCTCTTCCGGGCAGAACTCGAAATGGCTTTCAGTCTCCTTTGGGAAATGGACGGCCGCCTGGCCAGCAGGGAGCAGCAGCCAGGCTGGCCGTGGGCACAAGTGCTGTGAAGTGAAGGGAGCTGAAGGGGGGTGAGCGAGCGAGAGGCCAAGGGGCTGCCCCCTGAACCAGCGGCATCCCCGGGCAGCTGCCTCGACTTCCCTTTTCGTCTCTTCCCGGCCCAGCAGAGGTAGTTAAACTCCTTGTTGCTTTGCGACTCCTTTCCTTGCGGGAAAGAACAGGAACTCTCTCCACGCTTGCCTTAAACACCTTCGAATTCATCAGCGAACCGGCGATTACCCTCTCTTTGCCTTAGATGCTGTGCTAGCACCTCCTTGGCCCGAGGAAAAGGTAGCAGGACGCTGGCCCGGGCCGGGGGCGCCTCCCGGAATTGTCGGCAACGCAGGTTGCTTGAGGAGCCTCTTCCACCTTCCTGCCAGCACGTCTCGTACCTTCCCTCCACCGCCACCTTTCCTTGCAAAGGTGACACTCGAGTTGGGGGGGGGGTAACTGCCCGATGTCTTGTTCTTCTGTGTTTGCTCAATGTGATGATGCTCTGTTTGCACTGTAGCCGCATTTCCTTTGAATGGACGACGTTTACTAAATAAACCTGAAAGCAAGTCATCCACTTCGTGATCTCCGTTGCTTTCTTCTGCCAGCCGGCGCGCTCTGCTCCGACAGGGAACTGCCCCCGCTTCCTCCCCGGCCCGCGGCGCCATCCCCGGAGAATGTGCCTGCGCGGCCCCCGGAGCGGACGGGAGCGCCGCGGGGGCGCGGGGCGCGGCTCCAGGGCGCTGTGGGCGCGCAGCAGCCGCCGGCGCGCGCCGCCCGAGCACG